CCAGCGACTCAACACTGCTTTTGTGCTGCAGGGACACATATGTACATTATTAGTAAATATGCCTCAGCTCTTCTCACTCAATATTTGAATCACTGTAAGCAGAAAGAGTGAATGCTGGTGAGTCACGACACACAGAGAAGAAAAGCCATGCAACTTTCACCATTCGAATTATGCTTAAATGCTAAAATGCATTGCTTAAACACACCATTCATAATTTCACCATTCAACTAGTGAACAGACACACCCTACACAGTTTAAACAGCAAACAATTCAGATAAAAGCAGGACAATACAAGCAAGCGCTTGTTCTTACAGAACGACTTGAAGCCTCAAATCAATGAAGAAGCGAGGCATGTTGGGATGTGTGATGTATGGTGAGATTTATACTCTGAGCTTTACTCAGCCACATCAGCATGAAGATAATACTCCGATAAGAGACTCGCGCAGGTATAAAAGACAGACTCGGGGTAAAGTTAGGCCACCGTCAGGATCACAGCAGTCTGTCATCATGGCCTTCAACGGGACCTGGAAAGTCGACCGCAATGACAACTACGAGAAGTTCATGGAGGAAATGGGTAAGTGGACATGAATGCTGCTGGAATCTTCTCTTTCTGTACCTGTTGAGTGATTCAGCGGGGCATTGTTTATGAGGTGCACGTGTACTGCATGTCTTCAACAGGCATCAACATGGTTAAGAGGAAACTAGCGTCTCATGACAACCTGAAGATCACTGTGGAACAGACCGGAGACAAGTTCCACCTGAAGGAAGTCAGCACTTTCCGCACGGTGGAAATTAACTTTACTCTAGGCGTCAACTTTGAATATTCCATGGCAGACGGCACTGAGCTCACAGTAAGCACAAGAGGCGTTTTCAGTCTTAAACACTCTGAAGGTTCTTTATTTCCATAAAGACCCTTTTAACATCCTTGGAACCATTGCACAAAAAGGTTCTTTACAGCAGAAAGATTGTATAAAGCGTTCTTAACACTAATCAGGCATGCATATGGTTATTTTGAGAAATATATTTGGGAACCCAAAATGGTTCGTTGCTGCAAAAAGCTCCTTTTATTTTTAAAGCATGTACACTCTCAGGAAAAAAAAGGCACAAAAGCTGTCACTGGGGTGATACCTTTTCAAAACGTACACCTTTGTGCCTTGTTTAGCCTTAAAGGGTGCGTATGTGTACTTTAAAGGCACATATTTGGGAAAAGTGCACCACTTCAACATTTAGATAATATGTACAC